ACGATATATGATATCAAGTGAATACACAAGCCGTCACTCATATTCTTCAGAAACAACTTGGAGGTTTTACGCAGTTGGCAAGTCGCCTATGAAGTCAATTCTTTAAAGTACATGATACAAACGCTAGTCTTAGACAAGAGAGTATTATTAAGTAAAAAAGCGATTGATATTGTCCAAGCAAAAGATTCTATTGAAATGTTATGTTAACAAGTTCACTTTCTCTCTGCAATTTGTTTTAAGTTTTTAAAGAGCCATTTCTCTGTTTCTAGTGCAGATGACCCTAACGGCTTATGAGTAAGTTTGAGATATCGTTTCAAAGAGATCTTTTCTCCTTTTTCTCATTTACTGCTTTATGTTTTCATGTTGGACTTTATTTCTTGTGAGCTCTCCATCTTCACTCTTTCTCTCCCCACCTCCCTCCCTCTCTCTCTCTTCGTCTCTCTTTTTCATATCAGTCTTTCTCATCGTTCCTTCGGTAACATTTTTTTTGTTCGTTTGGTATCTTGCTATTTCTTGCCTTCAGCTCTATTACGTTTGTCTCCCATGACAGAGATTTTGCCTTTTCTTTTGTCGTCTTTATCTAGCGCAATAGTCACCTTCTTTTTTTTCACTCACTTTTCTTGTAAACTTTCCTTTACTCCTCCCCCTTCTCTCCCAACCCCTCTCTCTCTCTCTATCTATCTATCTTTTCCTCTCTCTGTCTCTCCCTCTCGCTCTCTGCCTCTCCCTCTCTCTCTCTGTCTCTCTCTCTGTCTCTCTCTTTGTCTCTCTTTTCATTCATATGCTCTCTCTCCTATTTTTCTCTTTATTGTCAGTCTTTCTGGGTCTAGACATCTTATCATCGAAGTCTCTTCTTTTTTTGTCTTTCTCTCTCTCTCTCTCTATATCTATCTATCTATCTATCTATCTATCTACCCCCTCTCTCTCTCACTCTCTCTTTCTTCATTCGTATACACTCTCTCCTATTTTTCTGTTTATTGTCAGTTTTTCTGTGTCTACACATCTCCTTACCGTCGAAGTCATTTTTGTTTGTCTTTCTTTCTTTCTTTCTTTCTTTCGCTCTCTCTCTCTCTCTCTCTCTCTCTCTCTTTCTCTCCCTCGCTCAAACACACATACATACAGACATACATAAAATTGTTTGGTCTATATTCGTATAAAATTATCTTTTTTTCTCTATACGCTTCTGTTTTTATATTCAATTAAATGTTCTCTCTTAACTGATTCTGTTCATCTCTCGAATATTTTTATCGATTTCTTTATTTACCTATCAATATCCTTTATCAATTTTATATTTGGCAATCATTGCGATGAAAGAATTCATTGTTTTTCATCTCGTTTTCTTTATGTGTCTGTCTGTCTGTATATTATCAGTTTTAATTTATTTTTGCCTCACTACCCCATTTAATCGATATAGCATTTAATCTCTCTCTCTCTCTCTCTCTCTCTCTCTCTATATATATATATATATATATATATATATATATATATATATATATATACATTTCTTGAATAAATTCGTAAAATTTGTAAAAATAATTATATAGGCCTCACTACAACATGTTTGACACGGAGACTCACTCTACACCTTACTGACCATAGCTCAATCAGGTGTCATTTAAATACTCATGGAGACCTACCGTACCCTATTCGTAACATACTTGTTGACAACACAAATATAACAGCATCATCTACATGCAAAAATGCATAAAAATAATGGAAGACTTATTAATAAAACAAAAAAAACATGTATAGATATAGCTTAATTTCTCCTCTCTCTCTCTCTCTCTCTCTCTCTCTCTACATATATATATATATATATATATATATATATATATATATATATATATATATAAGCAAGTGTAAATGGATATAAATCCGACAGAATGAAGAAAATTTTTTGAAAAAACAAACAAAAATCCTTAAATGTAGTTAAAATGAAAGAAGGAAAATGAAAGGATTTTTCTTTGTTTTTTCAAAAAAATTTTCTTCATATATATATATATATATATATATATATATATATATTGTGTATTTAAGCAGCAGTTCTTCATTTATACATGTTTCATTAAAAACGACAGAGAAGGAATTACGATTAAGCTTGTTTAATTATTCTTGTATTTTTAAACTATTTAAAGTCTTAATAATAAAAAAGAAAAAGCCAAACACTTAACAGTATTAACTACGATCCCGGCCACAATGTGCTAACTGAGTTCGGAAAATAAAACATCTCTATAACACTAAACACATACACATAACGCACACATTCAATTCAACTGAAAAAATAAAATCATCTTTGATAATGGCTAAAAGTCTAGCCGAAAGCGCTCGGAATTACAGAACATTTGAACAATTTCTACGTGCTTTGTGTCTAAAAAAGTAAACATTTGTTCGAAGACAAGAAAAATTTAATTGAAAAGTTTAACTGTAGTACCTTGTCTTTCGCTATTTTTAAAGAAACATGCATCTATACATACATACATATATATATATATATATATATATATATATATATATATATATATATATATATATATATATAAATAAAAAGAAAGAACAGTAAGATATATAATCCGGTGTTCTTATAGGTATTTTTTATTTTACAAAATAGTGCTCTATGTAATGTCTTTAATTTAATTGCAAAATTAAATTCGTGGCTTTAGCTTCCATTTTTGAAACATGGTTAGAACTGTGTGTAGCGAAAAAACATATTTTAAATCAATTAATTTATAATATATATATATATATATACACCCACATATATATATATATACACACATATATATATATATATATATATATATATATATATATATATACCCCTACGTCCATCTTCATCGATGTCTTGCATGATAATCTTAACAGGCCTTGTAATGTGTCCAAACCACACCATTGTCTGTGCGCATTTATCCGAGAATGCTTGTCTAGAATGTCGGTTACCAAATGCTGAGCGGGCCTTAGTTACAATTGTATAAGAGAGCGCCTTATCTAGCGTGATCAGCAGTTTGAACAACGATGTGCTAGCATAAACAGGGAGGGTTCTCAAATAGCTTCGTCTATGTAATTCGCTCACCTAGTTTGGGTCAATCCCTATGGTCTGGTGCCACACACTAACCCAGGTTTCATGTTTGGAAACAGAACGTTCTAAACACTCGGCCAGGCAAACACACACACAAATACATACATATAGATATAGTAACTGGCCACTCGTATTCGAGTATGCCCGTCTACTAGGGCGGCTATCCGATCCTTAATAAAGACGCCCACTCAGGCACATTTGTGTTTGTTCAACACCCACAGAGGCAACCTGTGGTTTATACTGCAACTATGCTGAGCAGGCCTTAGTTACAGTTTCTGAGAAAGAGAATGTTATCTGGCGTGATCAACAACCTGAACAAGACCAGCAGGTTCAAATCCTCGGTCACGATAACTTGTGATTTCGTGTAGCACAGCCATCCGTCAGGAGGGGATCGATCTCAGCGTGTGGCACCTTTAGATAGTGCCTTAAAACTATACCACGGGTTGATCCAATCTTTGTGAGTGAAATTGGATCGACGAAACCCTTTGGATACATACACACACACACACACATATATATATATATATATATATATATATATATAAAGACATTTTCATGTTTATACATTCTTTTTATAGATACAAATATTTAAGTAAATACTCTGTTTTATAATAAACAGTATTAATTACATTTACCGGCCTGAATGTCCGAGAAATGTTTATTATAAAACAGAGCATATGCTTAAATAACATTATCTATAAAAAGAATGTATAAACATAAAGTTGTTTAAGATAATTGTCGGACTTTGTCCATTTCATAATGTGTGACGTCATTTGTTTACTTTTGGATAAGCTTTGAGCAGAAATCAGTGTACGTGAGAGATTAATGGAAGATTGAAGTATAAAAACACTCAAATCGACCATGCTAATCGAACGATTCTCCGTGGTTCGATCGGATAAGGAACGTCAGGTTAAATGACGCTTCCGTAACGGATACAGGTTCGATTCCAGTCGGAGAACGAATATTTTCTATGAAAATTTCTCGGACATTCAGGCCGGTAAATGTTATTAATACTGTTTATTATAAAACAGAGCCTTTACTTAAATACTTGTATCTATAAAAAGAATTTATAAAAATGTCTTAAAATAATTGTCGAACTTTGTCCATTTCATAATACACACACACACATATATATAGATATAAATATTTATATCTATATATATATAGATATAAAAATATTTATATATATATTATAAATTAATTGATTTAAAATATGTTTTTTTTTTCGCTACACAGTTCTAACTATATCTTACTGTTCTTTCTTTTTATTTACACACACACACACACACACACACACACACACACACACATATATATATATATATATATATATATATATATATATATATATATATATATATATATATATATATATCACAGTCATCGTTACAGCAAGCGTGGTTCAGTTAACCATTTCAGGAAATGTACATCTGTCGTTGAAACTTTTCCGTGTCTATGCCTAGTAATATTTTTTTAAATATCAAAAGCTTTAGGAAATAACTAGATAGTGTAAATTTGCATATGTATGTTTACACTGTTACCTATGTTTGACTCTATTTATTTGAACATTTCGACTCAAATCTCTTGAGTCGTCGAACACAAGTCATTTGAAATTGTCTTAATTTATTGAATTTCATAACTCAAGTTATGTATTGAGTACTTTCTGGCATAACTTCTGCTCGCCTCAAAAAGACATGTAAATATTTTCTTAATTCAAACGTATTTTCATATTATTATTATTATAGCATTCAATATGAAACTACATATATCTACATACATAAATTTGCAAATAAAAAACATTCAGCATATATATATGTTATTTAATTTTAAGGTATGCTATATTTATGGGATAAAATCCTCAGTATCAGAGATAGAGCGTATGTAAATATAATATTGAACATTGAAGTCAACACTCAGAGGCGACAGACTGTTTCATGTTAAACGCAACCGTCAAGCCATATGATTCCGTTCAGCATGAAACATTCTGTCACCTCTAAGTGCCCACTTCAATGTTCACTTATATATATTTTATGTCATTCGAGAACAGTACTGTTTCACAGATCCTCAGTACGACTAGACAACTGAATGCCTCAAGCCCAGATCGAAACCAAACCGATTTGGTGTCAGTCAGAGCTTCTACTACTGAGCTATCGTCACTCGACAGAACGAATAAGCCAAATCAAGCGTATTGTTTTTACAAAATAAACAAATGCCAAGCAGCCAAAGTGCTCCATTCATTTTACTGAAGAGCTTCGCATTTACGCAGTTGACCGTCGTTTTTAGAATTAGCTTGTCGTTCAACAGGGCTCAAGTGAAAATATATTTTCAAGTGCTAAATTATGTATTCCGTGAGGGTCGCAGGGGCACCATGCGTACTGCAGTCGCTGTAGTGTTTCTTAGGTAAGCTTGACGGAGTTCAACCATCTCCAGGCCGGTTTTGAGTTCAGAGTTTTTCCTTCTCCTACACATGTTGCCACCCAGTCTGTACTGCTATTTACCCATAGCTGGTAAGAGAAGAAGATTATTAGCACGTAAGTGAATGTAATGGATTTGACTGAAATTCGGTTCTCCGATTCTTCAGTCCCAACCTCTATCCATTACTCCACTGTGCCTCCCTTATATATATGATAAAATATACAAAATACATTTATATGTGTTCGTAAATGAGTGCATGTGTCTGTGTGTGCGATGATGAGTGACGTAAGGATTATCATGGCAGAATGCAGAATAGGATAACTCAGGTTGTATTTCGGTAGATGTGATTTATGTTAATTCTTAAGCGCTAATTCTCTAAGTAAAAGCTCCGTATCCACTCCTCAAAGTGTTCTCTGCTTTTGGCAGATATTTTACCAATTTCTATTGACACTGATATAACATCAATAATAGTCAATAATAGCCACTTACATACTTGGAGTCCAAAAGACTCTCCAAATAAGTAAGTCGTAAAATTGATGCATACATTGTCAACCTTTACAAAATTTATAAACGCGCACATACATATTATTAATAGATCTCATAGAAATGTATAGATACATATACATATAGTAAAACTATTACTAGTAGCAATAGTAATAATGATAATAAACACAAAAAATTGCCTGCAACGTATCTTTGAAGATTTTCAAAAAGTTATCAAAATACAAGGACCTTGAAATCAAAATATCAAAAATGTGGCACATGGGAACATCAACAATCACTGTTGTTGTTAGAGCCCTCTGATTGGTTGGAAAAGATTCCGGTAAAATTGCTGAAGAGATTCCTGGTAGCCCATATGCCTTAAAGAAATACAAAAGACTGTTCTCACGAATACAGCCTACACACAGGCTTTATCTAAGTAACATATGTGTGATGATGACCTTTTTTTTGTAATTGCTCAGTGGAAGATGTCATGATATCATTTCTAAACTTAGATCTCTGGAAAGAAATGTGTACACCCCAGAAATCAAATAAATAAAACAATAATAATCCAAGATTATCAAAATCCTCAGGGTTTCAAGCAACGATAATCATCAACCAGAAAATATGCCAACAATAGCTATAATCTGACCTGCAGGAAGAGTATCTAATCCGCTGGATGTATTTTCTTTTAATTCAGTACATATTCGAAAGCCTACATACAACAATCAGCTCAAAAATTGGTCAACTAGTTGGTGTAGGATTAGCAAGTTTTATTAGGTTTTACTGCAATGCCGTTATACGGCCTTGTTTTAGCCACTATAGTTGGCTCTTCTTTTCCACTGCTATTAATGTCTCAATAGTAGACAGAAAGAGTGGTGATACTTTTATATTTTCGTTTACTCAGAGTCATCTTATGATTATAGAAGCGTCATTTCCATTGACTCTCGGTGGCTTCCCTATAGTATTTTATGTCACAATTAATCGCTTTATAGAAAACATCTGTTACCAAACGCAATCTATTCATAGGGCATTCCTACTTCACTCAAAAATTACATCCTATCACATTTATTTTTCTATTATGCTTTATCAATACTATTACTAACAGTAGTAGTAATAATAATAATAGAATTGAAAAATTACTTGAATATTACTAGAATTTAACGTACTTTCCAAATCCCACTCACTAAAGCTATAATATTCAGTAAATAAAGAAAGGTTCAAGTAACTTATCTGGTTTACCAACTCAAGATTATCACATCAAAGCACTCATATAGTTCAGATATTTGATCAAACATCAGGTTCTGATGAGCGTTTGGAAGCGAAACTCTTGAGTAGTTCAATCACTTGGACATTTTTTGATTTTGTTCGACGTAGTTAAGTTCGTTAGAGCGTGTCGGACTTAACGGTAGCTCCCTCTGAGGACGCAGTTCAAACGCAGCCGGAGATCGCAAATTTTTCTTAATAATAAGATTTCTCGAATATTCAGACCAGTAGACGAAAATAAATAAATATACTTTTTAATATATAAACAGAGCGCCTATTCAAATAGAACTATCTACTGACAATAACATTTAACGTGATATATATATATGTGTGTGTGAGAGAGAGAGAGAGAGAGAGAGAGAGAGACAGACAGACAGACAGACAGACAGACAGACAGACATAAAAATAAAAAGAAAATTCCGATTTCAAGTTTCATATATACACCGTCCTACACGAGAGCGTCGAGTCAACCTTATGCGAAAGAAAAAACATTTGGTATATCCGTGAAACCTGATGTTCGAAGATAAGTCCTTTGAATTTTATTCGTCTGTTTACTTCTATTGGTCTATTTTTTAATATTGAATATTTTGTTTACACAAAATCTGCTCACTAACAAACACGGTAACCTTGAGTAATTTAGTGGTCGTCGTATGTTCTTAGTTAATTATCTTTGTCATTAACAATATATATATATGAATATATATATATATGTGTGTGTGTGTGTGTGTGTGTATGTGTATGTGTGTGTGTATGTGCGTGTGTGTGGTGTGTGTGCGTTTATGTATATATGTATGCATTTATGCGTGTTTGAAGAATGAATGTATATATATATATATATATGTGTGTGTGTGTGTGTATAGAATTGTTTTGCAGAGATCACTGTAGGTTTTAGATAACTAGCAAATTAGAAATTCATAATGAGAATTTTTTTCTCGCTCGCATCTGCTTCTACAAAGATGATTAATTAAAACGTCTGACTTTTTGAAAAGATTTTCTCCAAAACATTTTGGTAATTACAGAAAACATCTATCGGGAAAATGACTTATATATAAACATGTTAAAAATGGCCAATGGAGACTGTTGTGCCACTTTCCCGAATGAATAAACCCTATCTATTTTTATTATAAGCATTCAAAATTCTGGCTTTTAATTTGGCCGTGGAACTTTTTCTGCCACTAGACAGGACAGAATTTATTAAAGATAGTTTATATCTGTACGAACGGCAGCTAATAAGTATTGAACTCAATTTTGTAGGAATCATCTTTGTGATCACTTTGCTAAGCAAAACACCATATCGTGACACTCCCTACTTTAGACTGTCATTTTTCTTTTTTAATCAGTCTCTATGATTGTAAAATAACTGTTCGCTCTTGATTGGTCAGTTTGTCATCCATTGATCATTTGATCGTCTGCTAACGGGTAACAGATAAGATCCGACTATCTTAAGGTCTCTAGTTCAAGGTTTCCGCCCGATCTAGAACCATTCAGGAGTGTTTGCAAAACGTTTGATAAAAGGTGACATTTTACTTGAAAAATCAAAGTACCAAAGTAACAACTATCAGGCTTTTATATCTTTTTAACTCTCTATCAATTTTTCTTTTTTTTTTTCTATCTTATTTCCACATCTCTCTATCTCTTTTTCTCGTTGTCTCTCTCTCTCACTCTATTTCACTCACTCGTAATATCTTAGGATATTAAGAATCCAAGGTTTCAGTTCAAACTAAAAGTGTTATTTTCAAAGAAGTTATCTCACTTCTATCAAAGCAATGTAAAAACGCCTTCAAAACGCTTCAGTTGAAAACTCTCTCTCTATCTATCTATCTATCTATCTATCTATTTATCTATCTATCTATCTCTCTTTCTTTCTTTCTTTCTTACTTTCTTTCTTCCATGACTTCAATGATTAACGATGATGGATTTCATCAACTTATTGTTTAATGTTACTCAAAGTATTTCTTCCTCTGCGGCTTCTTCTTACCACAGTGATTATTGTAAAAAGCTATTTAATTAAACTCGTAGTGTATTTGTTGACATTAGTTACACTCGAACCAATGTCACCATAGTTATTGTTGTTAGCAGAAAATTTACGCTGACATGATCTTTGGTATCCATCAAGTGCTTTTCGATCTGGATAACCACAGATTTTCAAACTTAACCATTTATTTTATTCACAGAGATAGATTGTTCTCGTTCTACTGACTATGTCTAAGAATATCTTGTCTTGGACTTAGTTTTAGTTCTACACCATTATACACCACACCGCTTCCACTGAGTCTGGAACTCTACAGCTCGGCACATACATTGATCCTTACACAGATTGAAAAAAACACCTGATGAATGCCAAAGGGTACAACTATCGAATAGTTCTGAAAATAACAACAAAAATGAGGAAAATAGTCTGCGTTTAAATAATGATAACTCCTTATCCTGGAAATGCATCGAAAATAATGCTATTCTCCATTATCGCCTACATTTCGTGATTTTCAATGTCCTTTTAGTATTAAATTCTCCGGTCTTTCTTTCCTCATTTTCCATGAAATTTAAGCTGTTACCAGCAGATTTCACGTATTATATGTTGTGATATTTTTTAGTTCCACCAGTTCAGACTTTTACAGCCAAGACTTATCAGGCTATGTACACTGAGGCGAATAATTATATGGCTGCGAATCCTCGGTCCAATACCGACGCCATTTGTAAATTCTTGGACGATTCCAAGTCTCCAATCTAAAAAGAATGATCAGATTATATTGGTCAGATAAGATACTGCATGTGGAAATCCGGAACCATTCACTGTCAATGACTTTCGAAGCCATGTGACGCTTCGTTGTCTATATTATCCGCATATCTGAGAACAGTCTTCCGCGACGTGCCTTCTTTGGTGAGCGGCAATCAAGCGAAAGGGTACTTTTGGCGAATGTGTGCCAGCAAAGACGCAAAAGTGACCCCCATTTGCTTTCGAATATATCTGTCGAAGCGTTTTCCTCGTTAGCAGCAGAACAGCTTGGTATGTCCAGATACGCGTCTCTCTCTCTCTCTCTCTCTCTCCTCTCCCTCCCTCCCTCTCTCTCTCTCTCTCTCTCTCTCATATATCACGGCCTTGTTAACTGTCTCGTGTCAATAAAAACGACTGGAAAAGCAGCAGTTGGCGTGAGTCGTTTTGTTATTGGCAGAGAGTCGGTGTCGTGTGAAGACGTTCCCTTGGCGCATTTTATTCCGGAAGTTGCGTACCACCCACCGTGCTGTCGTTTCTGAGACAGTGGCCTCATTTAGTCATTACTCTTTGTTATTTTATTTCCTCCTGTTTCTTTCCCCTTTTCTGTTTCCTCCTCTTTTAAATGTTAAAAGAACAATGTGTTAAATGTTTCCCTCTAACCTCAACACATCCTTACCTTATTTTAAATCAAAACAAGCGATACAGTGACCAGATCAGCGTCATTCAGGAGACGTGTAATATCTGCTAGCCTATTAGAAAAGTTGAGTAGTAATCAGACCAGCTGGTGGTGTATGTGCAGTCGTTGTTTTAAATTTAAGCTCAATGCTAGATTGGCACGTAGGTCTGATCATTTGAAAATTGAAATTGTTAGATTTAAGCGGAAGTTCCATGCTAAAAAAATTCTCTCGAACTTCTTGCTTGTCGAACTCTCTTCCCGCGTCTCGCTTTCCAGCCAACATTGATCTTTAAAGATGTAACTCCGATGTCTCCATGAACCTTTTCTTTTATTGTTCTCTCTCCTTAATAATCACTTCTTTTTTTGTCTCAGATTTCTTCGCACCCGTCAATCCGTGGAACCTTTATCGCCATACTTGGAGCGAAAAAAAAAAAAAGTAATGTTGGTCCAGCAGGCAGAGGAAATCATTCCTCTACTGCCATCTAAGGTCATTTTAGATACCCAACTCGCAGAAAGGTATATTATTCTCATGTTATTCCAATCAGCAATACAAGAATCCATGCGCCATAAATGGAACTGATTGACTTCGCCTGAAAGGCGTCTTCTAACGACGGCAATGACGATTACTGCCTGAAGTCCACCATTATTTGCTTCTGTGGTAGAAAAAACGATTTTTAATGTCTCCCCTATCACACAAATGCGAATAATAGGAAAGCCAAACGTTTTAATACAATTGTAAGTACAGATTTGGAATTAGCATTGTCAATTTAGTCGAGAAACCACGTTTTTAACTCCAATTGTAAAACCCTTGTTATCCTGTCAAATTGAATTTCTTCCGTTGTCACCACATTCTTATCGCTCTTCATTGCGTGAGGAAGATAATTTGGTCGCCAATCATCTAATGCTGTCGGATCATCAGCTGATACTGACAGCAAGGAATTCCTTTATCTCTGGGCGAAAGAATACAAAATTGCAAAGTTATTGAAGGCATTGATTCTATGTAGACAGAAGGAAAAACAGATAATTGGCATCAGAAGAATAAAGACTTCAGACGTCATGTATGTTTTGTGTCTCATTTTCTGCTTAGCTTTTATTTCATGATCATTACATTCATATATTACAATGATAATCAATTGAATTATATTTCTTCCCCAGGTATGTTGCAGTGTGGTTGCATATCAGTAATTCCTTAATACGGAAGCCAGCGTTGCATTCAATTACCGAACGAAGAACAAACATTTCACAGGTTTTTTTTCTCGATTGACTTTAGGGAAGAAGTCATAATCGACATTTTCTCTGTAGAAGCGCGCGTTCGAAAGAAAAAAGGGTGTGGAGAAAGAGAGGTGGTGAAGACAGGATATCAGTCATCCAGCCAGCTTTAACCCTGTCCCCAAATCAGGCAAAAGAAAGCAGGACGAACCCCTGAGCTCTCTATTTCTATTCTAGATACTTCTTGTCCGTTTTTCAGTCTTATTTCAAAATGTTAATAAAGATAATCAACCATTGTCACGTTTCAACGCCGACGAGGTTCAAATCGTCGATTTTTCTTCGGTTCAAAGTCTATCAAGTACGGTCGGGTCTGGAATTATATTCACTATCCATGCCGTGCACTTTATACTACATAGGATAAGATTTTTATATCTTCGATTTTCATTATAATTATTTATTTTAAGTTGTCTAGGCCGCGTACTGTGAAGCCATAGTCCATAGATAGATAGATAGATAGATAGATAGATAGATAGATAGATAGATAGATCTAAACAGACTGTGATAGATAGATAGATAGATAGATAGATAGATAGATAGATACAGATCGATATAGCTAGATAGATCGATAGACAGATCGATATGAACAAAACGAGATAGATATCAACAGTGATGTATTTTTGTCTATAAAAGAAAAGTAAATAATGTTGAATTTTTATTTATTATTTTTTCATTTTTAATGCAATTATTTTTTATTATTTTTTTTTTTTGCTTAATTATTTATGTATCAATTTATTTATTTCACATATTCAAAGTTCCTGCGTTAACCCTCCTTTTAATTTTTGATAATTAAATAAAAGGTTCATTTCAGAATATCCTATAGGTTACTCAGATCGATTTATATCTGAAGGAGGTCGAAGAGCACAACGACCGAAATGTACCAACTATCAGGCTATCATATCTTTTTAACTCTCTATCAATTTTTCTTTTTTTTTCTATCTTATTTCCACATCTCTCTCTCTCTCTCTCTCTCTCTCTCTCTCTCTCTCTCTCTCTCTCTCTCTATCTATCTATCTATCTATCTATCTCATTTTATTATTTTCTCTTTTAGTAAGTAATAAGTATAGCATGTCTGCAGGAATGGTAGAGTAATAAATTGCGGAATCGAAGAGCGGAGTTTGAATCTCAGTCGAGTTCATTGCATTCCCTTACGTGCTAATAAACTTAGGAAAGGTATAAATCCAACCCTCCTTCCCCCAGCTATGGATAAATAGTAGGACAGGTTGGGTTTTATAGCTTTGGGTGGTAACCGGTCTCTGAAAAGGAAAAATCTGAAATCAAAACTGCTTGTGACCACTGACAGCTAAGGAAGGATCGCTCGCATTGATGATCCAAACTACGGTCAAATTCTTTTAATAGAAATCCTTTGTATACTAGTAATAAATAAAATAATTCTCTCATCTTATTTCAATCCTAAAGTTGTTTTTCGGCTACCGGAACACAAACGATGAGGGACGAAACGAACAGCATCACCTGATACAACCAAAACAAAGCGAAACAAAACCAAAGTCACGCCCACGGCAGAAGCGACGAAGAATTCTACACAGGAACGTCGCAAACGAAGGTCGGACGTAACTGTGACACAGAAAGGAAAAAAGGAAATCCGAATCGCGGCGTTCCATAGAGTAATAATGGCGACTCAAGATATTTATTCTGTAAAATTAACAGTAATTGTGACACAAGGCCTAAAAAGGAAAACGGGTTGAGTTTGGTCGACACTAACTATCCTATACCTAGCTAATCCGATTCACGACCCATTCGTTCATACAATTTTCACATTCACCAAAACAACGCATCCCCCATCATTCAATCCTATATATACCATAATACAACAAATTCACAGGGAACATACAAAACACACCATGGCGTAAAAATTTCTTTGTGTACAAAATAGTATTTAAAAATATTTGTAAAATATAATGTTGGGGAGGGGACGAACCCGATAACAAACTAAAATATTAAAAAACACACAAACGTAAGAGAGCTCATGTTAGTAGAACCCGTCAAAATTAGAGTGACTGCTGTATTCTGTCTTCAGAGAAAATCAAGAGGTTCTCTCACTAAAGGAGAGGAAAGGATAAAATAAAAAAATGGAGGCCAAAAACAAACTGGGGAGGTTGGGAATCTTGACTTGGATCCAAGAAAAGAAGCAACCGGGAACAGGCCAGAAACAACACTAATTCACATTAACTAGGTACACAATATCTTAACCACGGGAGGGATCCACAGGAAACCGCCTCGTTGTGACTTAGGAGGACTTTTTTAAAAGTAAATCAAAGCTAACCTTGTTCACGCGACATTTTCGTATCGGTCAAGCGCCTTCAATGTCGCTGCGGGACATCGGCGATCGCGGAACTCTGACTCGAATCCCACCATGGGCAGCGATTACATGTAGGGCCGGACTGCAAGCCCTGTGCCTCAGCCGGCGAACGAGAGACTCCAACTTCAAAGCGTAAACTATGGTCGAAAGAGAGAAACCCTGACGAACCAACTGAGACAGCGCAAAAGCGCGCGGCTGCTATCCGTTCACCTGTACCATAGCACTGGTGAAGCGATGCAGGAGGCTAATCCACTTACAGTAGTCTGCTCGGGTCCCAACAAGCTCTCGACAACTGACTGCAAACTCTCCGTCAGTATCTTGGCCAAAATCATTAACTCCGTGTTTAGCAGAATCATGGGCCTGTAATCATCTAAATCCTTGCCCTTTTTCAACAGTGTGATTACACCTCTGGAGATTCAGTCCGGAACGGACCCCTGAAGGAAACTGGTTGTTGAACACGACAGTCAAAATCGGAACAAAGATACGCAACAGCCTTAAGTACAATTCATAGTGCAGACATCAAATTCAGGAGACTTGTCACTACTTACTTTTTTCAATGCCAAGTAGATTTGCTCTTTGTTATATCCCCCTCACAGCTAGCCACTTCAGACGGACCAAGCAGAGAAAAATCAGTCAAATTGCTGCGAAGCTCTTCATCACTGAGACCTACCGAATGTTGTCTATTCAGCATACAAAGACCAACTGGCAAGAGGTGTTTCTTTGCTGGTTAGTACCCTGGAGACGGGGGTAGATCTTGTCCATGTCGATGCGATAGGGTCGGGGGACGGTTGATAGTGACTGATATTGCTGTTTTGGATTCTTTCTGTTTGTGCGCCGAACAACCAAATAGAGCGTGTCAGGGCCGTTTCTGGTGGATTTGTCACGCTTAGTCTTAATGGAGGAATAGAACGCCGTCGTGAACCCCAAGACAGAGAGTGGGCGGGGAGGTCGGCTTTGGTAGCTTGGTTGATCTGATCGGAAAGTTTAGTCTTATCGATAGATACCGGGTCGATCAATCGGGGGGGTGAAGAAAATCTGGATGTGGGCTTGGTGGTGATTTTGTTGTTGCTACTGCTGCTATTCTTTTTCTTTTTTTGCTTGGGTTGCTATTGTTGATTTTGTTGTTGCCACTACTATTCCTTTTCTTCTTGAAGCATTTTTGGGTACTAATCAGCGGATATCGATGCTTTTCTGACTCCGGTCTCTCGTCTGGCTGTTGTTGTTGTGCGACCTGCTCGGGGTCCCCAGCTTGCCGACTTCCCTGCCTTTATGGCCACTCTCCCTCGAACCACCATCGGGTGCGTTGCTGACCATTTCCGCTACTTCTGCTGCTTCTGTTGTTGCTGCTGCTTGGCTAAGCTGTGGCGCTGTGTCCTTGTCGGAACACGCTTTAGACATGTCTCCCGAGGTACTACAAGACCAGCATTAGGGGCGCTGGCCTTTCACAGCCACGGACATCATTTTATCCCGACACACTGAAACAACAATTACGCACTTAAAATAAAAAAGGATTAAACTATTAACAAAACTAAAACGAACTAAAGTCAGGACATGGGGTTGAAACACACAAAGAAAAAATATACTAAAGAAAATAAAAGCTTGGCTTAAAAATGAAAAGAAGCAAGTAACACGTAAAAAATGAAGCAAAACTAAAACGGAAACTGAAAAGTAAATGAAAAAATTCAAAAGTGTTGAAACTTGGATAAGCATGGAATAATAATAATACAACACAAAATGTACGTTAACAAAATGTATTAAAACAAGGAAAAGGTACACAATATTTACAGTTAGTTTTGGTATATTCTTGGGAAGACTGTTCCTGCATAATGGGTTGACTAAATCGCAGTCGGGCAGAGTCTCTGGATTGGATCTTCTTCTAACTACTATCTTACTCTCTGGTCTTCCGGTACCAACCCATATTTATATGGTCGGTACTCCACTATGTAAATTAGGTGGATCGTACCACAACACCCCCCTCCCAAGCCTTGGAATCTCTTTTGGATTTCAAATTGGCTTCCTATATGGGTTGATGATTATGGCTATTTCTTTGTAGATCCATTTGCCTCATTTTAATATTTTTTCCGTTTTGGATTCACGTTCAATGGGTCCGTCAACTTCCGTTTCCTACCGTATCTTCTTGGTTCAGGAGTATTCTGTGGAGGTTCTACCTGAAACATATCATACATTATATCAATGGGATCTTCGTCCTCATCCGGTATACACTCTTCTTGCTCTATACCGTAATCTTTTTTAAGTTGGTTTTGGTGCCTTTTATGAGTATTCTTCGGCCCTTTAATTATGTAAATCAGGTCACCGATTCTCTTGTCCACTATGCCTCGTTCCCAGAACTCAACGTTGTTTTTATAGCACTTGAAAAACACCTTCTCTCCGGGAGTGTATCTTTTTCTCGCTGTATACATGGTATTTTTTACTGTATTTTTTCCTGGCAAAAGCTTGTCAAACACTGACTTAACTTTCCTAGCGAACATTAGTTCAGCTGGTGCCATGTTTGAGTGTGTTCTCTGGTTTGGCGTGATTCTGTATACTTGTAAGAATTGCTGAAGCGCCTTTTCCGTTGGAACTCCTGAGGCTTTCTTCAGAGCTTGCTTTAAAGTATCGACAAATCTTTCTGCGAGTCCATTAGATCTCGGATGATACGGAGGCGTCGTTATGTGGTTAATTTGATATAACTCACAAAATTCCTTAAATTCTTCAGAAATGAATTGTGTACCATTGTCACTCACAATACACTCTGGCACACCGAACCGTGCAAATAGTTCATGCAAAAAAGTTGTTGTGGTATTGGACGTAGGCTTTTTACAGCGTAGTACTTCCGGCCATTTTGTAAAACTATCTACCACTATTAAGTAGTAAAAATATTCTACTGGACCAGCGAAATCAATGTGTAATCTTGTCCACGGATGATCCGTCTTGGGCCATGGTTTGTGTACTATAGGTGGTGCCTTAGCTGCTAACGCACACCCCTTACATCGATGAACCATGTTTTCGATATCCACATCCATTCCTTTCCAATACACAAAGCTTCGCATTAAGCTTTTTGTTCTATTAATACCGGGTGACCCATATGAAAGTCCCGAAGAATTCTTTTCTGCAGCTTCTTTGGTATTACTACTCTCTCACCATATAATAAAACTCCATCACCTATTGAAAAAATCTCCTGTACCTTTTGGTCATTTGCTACCATTTTGCTTTTTAATTTCTAAATGAAATCATCG